TGATACATGTCAAGAAGCTGACAAAGTGACGTCCAATTGAAGTATCAAACGAATAATGCAGCGACAACATCGATAATGCTTTGATAAATGCATGGATAATGAATTCTTGCGATAATGCGTGGATAATTAATTAATTTTATTTCGGATATCGAAGCCCGATCCGACTACGAAACAACTTTATCAATCGGATCCCTTCCGAAATGAATATTTTGGTTCCGAAATCCAATCGGATTGGATTTGGATTCGGATTGGTTTGGGATCGGATTTGCACACCTCTAGGAAGTATACAAGTCATTTTATTTCTGAGATTATGTCGATGAACATTTTTTCTGAATAATGACTGCAAAGTTGGGGAGCTAGGTCATAATAGCATTTATACGCAAGGTATAAAAGCTATCGTTTATACATAGTGTTCAGCGTGAACAACTTCACTACTTTCTTGATAACGTCTTTCGCAGAGCTGTATCAATCCAGACGAAAGATGATTTTCGCTGCACAAACATGCATTCGTTCCAACTCATAAAGTAAAGTTTTTGTTCGTATCTAAAAGATCGGAAGAGAATATGAGTTTAGACGCATGCAGTTAAGGTGTATTATGAATTTATAATTATTAACTCGAGCAAGTACACCCGAAGTCAGTATGTGAAAAAATCACTATATTAACTGACAATATGCCCAGGTAATGGGCCAATGGGGGGTCCCGTACGTGTTCCCTCGGAAGTTTTTCCTTTGTTCCCCACAAAAAATTTCACAATGTTCCTTAGTTCTCTTATGATTTGCTTTATTCCCGTATTCGCATTGCAAGAAATGTCTTGTTCTCTTGTTCTTTAGAAAGCCTTAGCGACCCTCTGTATTGGAAAAGTCTTCATGCTTACTGAATACCAACTATTATCCAATTAAATGCAAAGGGTTGGCTCAATCACAATAAACCATGCTCTGATAAACCACATGTCGCATCTTTCTCCTCCGCGTACACGAAATAGTCGCGCTATCTAGTTGATCACAACCACAATGTGGGAAGTGTATACGTATCTTTCATTTATAATATTTATTATATCACATTCCTTCAAATACAACAATATTTTTCCAATAGAATTACAACATTTGTTGATCAACTATATTATTACCGTTCAACTATGTTGGCGTCATCCGAAAGTTGCCGCCTTACATTATATGCACCGTTCATTGATCTCAATTTATGTTATTTAACTTTTAAATTACAAGTACAATAATCACTTTATGTTTTACTAAGATTAATTATAAAATATCTGACACTGGTAAAGCTTTTTCGACATAATTGATGTAGTAGTTTCACGCAAGCGTGTTAGCTGGATGTAGCCCCTTTCCCTCGAGAAATCTCGAAAGAATCGAAAGATCGACGTCGGATTGTGCGTTTAGTTTAAATTAAGCAAGTATTCTACTAGTGGGCCCACACTGATGCCGCTTAAAATGGAAATTACGTCTTCAAATCCAAATAAACACTCTTTCGTCAATGCACATGGTACGTACCACTACTAACCGCATTGATCAAAGCACAAGCAAAGACAAATGGTTTCAACGAGATTCCACTGAAACATTGTTTAAGCAAGTTTCTGATTGAAATATTTCTGTTGTATTGACTTTGGAACTGAAAGAGCTTTTCAACAAAAATGCACAAACAACACAAAATAGGTGCCATTACAAGGCCAACCAATGCGAAGCCAAGGTTAATGAGAACTTTTGCATTTTCAACGCAGCCATAAATGATTATTAATATAGTATTAATAAAGAACAAAGTTAGCGCTAGCCACGACTTTCTTTTCTCTGGTATCGGCTCCCTTTCAGTATCATCTTGTGATGTTTGACGACCAGGTTCATTGTACGACCTTGTACTGGTTGTGTGATAAACTAACATCTTTTTGGATCATGTTTAAACGCGTTAAATCTTCAGGTTTTGAGATAACAGTCTCAATTAAGGTTGCTTGTTGTTAGATAAAACGTAATGAGCGGGTCTATTCAGGCATAGCCGGCGTTGACTGATTCCTGGGTAGCCGGAATTTTCGCAAACCACATGTGGTACATACTGTAAACAGTGCCTTTTCAAATGGAATTGAATGATATGACGCTGACTTGTACGCGTTATTTTGCCAGCTTACCTGTTTACACGTTATTTAAAGCGCACATAACACGAAATTTTCTCATTTTCTATGCACCACTTGAAAGTATCTTGATAATGATGAAGAATGACCTTAACAATTTATTCACAGTTCATATTTTGTTCCCAATTTATCGGGCATTTTGTATCTTTTTGTTATGACGACACTAGTTGTCGCACAAATAATTCAACGAAATTAAATTAATTTTGGTACAGTCAGTGAGTGACTCGTAAGAAAACATTTCGGAACGCTTATGTGGCATGGTGCAGGACTGCAACACGGAAAATTAATGAACACATCCTTAGTGTCACTAAAAATGCCGTATCTAGAGATGTAACCTACTGTACTAACTACTTTATTCCGTAATATACTCTTTGTATCTCACTACTTGTACCTTGTGTGTTGTTTTTAATCTTGCGCGGGATTTACTGTCGATGCCTATCTATACTACAATATCCTGCGTAAAGCCTTTGTTTTACGCAATCTATTTGAGTACAAGTTTACTCAAATGGATTGCGTAAAACTTATGCGGTTTTACTCAAGGTGAGTAACGTATAGCTTTTACGCACGTTTTAGGTGTCACTGTGAACGCATTGCGTCTTACTCGAATTTTGAGTAAATTTTACTCAATCACCAGCGGTAAAGTTACTCAAATATTGTGTGTCACTGTGAACGCATTTTCCTACTCATGTTTTGAGTAACGTTTACGCAAGGATTTTTTGCAGTGTGTCAAAACGACACACATTTACACACTAGTTACCATGTCTTTCTCTTCTTATTTTAGTAATGTCTGCTGTAGGCACTTTTGAACGAAAGTGTTTTTTACTTCAATAGTTTAGATTGAGCACGGCACCTATTATTAAAACGATACTAAAAATGGAAATCAAAAACATTCCTATTTTTTGTTGGAATCAAAGAATTAGGGAAAGTACATTTATTACGCCGAGGGGGAGGGGGGGGATGAAGTTGTCTTGAAAAACGCACATTTTTTTTTCAGGGCTCCTGTTGAGGTTATTGGAAAATTTTCGAAGCTTCCTTTCAAGTTTTTTAAATTTTAACCCCCCCCCCCCCAATGAAATTGCCAACATATCACCCGGCATCTGTTGCAAATGTCTTTGCATGCCTGTCAAAATCGCCAGTATGCTTCAATTTCTTTACTTTTTATCCCGTTTGTACTAAATATCCCATGAACACAGAACATATCATTATTACAAATCGCATGCTTTTTTCGTTTTTGGAAGAGCAGACTAAGGATATCTTAAACTGACATCGGTTTCAAATACAACCATCAGGGACGTAGGAAAGCATCTGACGTTTGGAGGGGGGATGTCGGAGGATTATACGTGTAATAATTATAATAAAGCTTTTTGTGATTGATTGGCACACTAAGTTTTGGGAGAAAAGGGGGGTCTGGGGGTCCTCCCCCAGAAAACTTTTACATTTTTGAACCTCTAGGATTGAATTTCTGGCGTTTTCTAAAGCAAACTCGCAAGCAAATTATGCCATTTACAAAAATGGTTATCATTTCGCAAAAATAATTACTTTACTATTACATAAATTTTACCTGAAAATGTCAAAATTTTAACTTGAATTTTCCATGATTTTTGCCTGAATTTCACAGTAGGGGGGAACCTTACACCCTTCTCCCACAACCCCCAGTTGCTACGTCCCTGACAACCATTCCTTGCGAAGATATAATGACTTAATTTTCTAAAAATCCGCCATTTTGTTCTATTTTTAGTAACAATATGGCCGATTTTTCGACACTTGTATCGCTATATCTTCCCATAAAATGGTTGTATTTAGAAACAGATTTCAGTTTAATTAATTAAAGTACCCATGGTTGTATTTAGAAACAGATTTCAGTTTAATTAATTAAAGTACCCTTGGTCCACTCTACAAATGGTTCAGTAAAATCACCAATAGCTTATTTAAATTTTTTACAAAAAAAAACCGATTTGTAAGAACGATATGTTCTATATTCATGGAAAATTTGGTAGAAACAGAATGAAAATTTCAGAAATTGAAGCATATTGGTGCTTTTGCATGCGTTTTTGACAGGTGTGTTGCTGCCTTCTTTTACGTATTCCATGTGGAGCTCCCCCAATGTCAGTTAATTAATATAATAGAGACAGTTTGGAAATCATTAGAATAGCAATATAACTCCATTATCAATGTTAGTCAACATGTATTCATAAATATATTCTTTCACCGCAATTTTCAATTTATCATATTGCTTGAGTGGTAGATAGGCAACTTTCCTAAAACATTGCTATTGGTTAGTGGGGCAAAAATACAATACGTCTCATGTGAAGGTAAAAACCAGATCTATGAATGTTATTCACTAACATGGGTAATGAGTTATATTGTTATTTTAATGAGTTTCCAAACCATCTATTCTATTAACTATGGTGGGAGCGAACACTCCAGGCCCCTGCTGGACCAAAACGTTGAAAAGTTTAGAGCCCCCCTTCAGTATATCGAGAACTTTAAGAGCCCCCCCCTTTAATGCCAGAAAATATTTCGAGCCCCCCCTTAACATCTTCATCCCCCCCCTCGGCATAATAAATGTACTTTCCCTTAGACAAATAGGTCAGAGAGACCTGGAAAGTAGTATGTTCCTATGGCAACCACCTAAACGTTCCAGAAAACCGATCTCACTGTCTGATCATGAACGCATAAGCAATGGCCGAATGAAACCAATAAAAACTTTATGCATGCAGAATAGTTGACCCTCATCGACGTTTATTGACCTCTTTAGTTTCATTTTAATTTTGATGTTTATATGACTTCCGCATTTTACAAGTAAAGACACGTCGCCTTGTTAGTATAAACGTATATTTTACTAGAGTGTATATTTTAAACCTTCAATCAGATCTACTATTCCAAAAAATGGCTTCAAAATATCACGACGATTGGCAGTCTAGTAAGAAAACAGTCTTACAAAGAAACGCGTATATGTTTGATAACGAATTGATGAGCGATGTATCTTTCACTTGTGGGGAATCAAGTCGCATATTTCATGCGCACAAATATGTGCTTGCCACGAGCAGTGCTGTGTTTTTTGCCATGTTTTATGGCGATCTAGCTCACAAAGAATCTCCCATTTGCCTTCCAGACGCCGACGAAGAAAGCTTTAAAGAATTTCTGCGCTACCTCTACACGGATGATTGTAAAATCACCGCAGAGAACGCGATTGGAGTTATGTATTTAGCTAACAAGTATCTCCTGTCGTCTTTGACAGAGAAATGTTGCAAGGTTCTAGAAGCAAGCATTGAGCCTGATAATGTTTTCGTGGTGTTGGAGCAAATAATACAATTTGATGAAAAAAAGTTGGAAGCAAAGTGCTGGGATATTGTATCGAAGAAAACCCAGGAATGTATAAACTCGGAAGCATTCTGTAATGTCGGATCCCATAGCCTGAAGGCTTTGCTAAAGAAAGAGACGTTGACAATAACGGAAGTGGAATTGTTCAAAGCAGTGTTAAAATGGGTAGACAGCGAGTGTTCAAGACAGGGTATAAATGTTGAAGAAGACAAAACGGCAAGAAGACGTATTCTAGGGGATTGTGTATATGAAATTAGTTTCCTTGAAATGTCACTGGAAGATTTTACGAAATATGTTTCTTCTGCCGGAATACTTACAGAGATAGAGGTTATTTCTATTTTCCAGAAATTTGGCGGATCAGATGTGGCTAACTTGAAATGGAACGAGCAAAAGAAAAGGCGACCATGTGTGGTTCTTAGTTTCAGTAGATTTGACTTTGCCGATGTATTTGACGGTAACTGGTACGGCAAACGCTACAATAACGGCCGTGTCGATGCTCTTACTCTGACTGTCAATAAAGCTGTTCTCTTTCACGGTGTTTGCTTGTTTGGTGACTCCAATGGTAGTCAATACAAAGTCAACTTTACGGTAAAAGATGAAGATGTAACAGGGACCTACACTTCAAAACAAGACAATGATGGTATATGGTGTTATGACGTCAATTTACCTAAACCAGTTTCGCTACAGTCACATGAAAAGACTACAATATTTGCGACAATAAAGGGACCACAATCTTACAACGGTTACAAAGGAAAATCATCGGTGAAAGTTGATGACATTGTCGTGACTTTTAATGACACACCACATGGTTTAAGTTCTAATTATACAAATAAAACTGGGGGTCAGTTTTACAAACTTTTCCTGTCTAATCTGTAAAAACAGAATTTGACTGGAACGTATAGCCATCCTCAATGGCTAGTACTTTAACTTTATGAAATAATATCCCGAATTACAAGAAACAGACCGTCCATCGACACGCATGCAAAGGACAGCAAATTAGTACCGGTCATTGTAGAGAGTTATAGATTGACGTTTACGGCAAACGTCAAACCGCTAACGAAGTTTGTGATTTTACAACTCTATTATAACAGCTTTTACACTAGTTTTGAAATATATTAAGCAATTATTAAACTTGTGGTATTTAACAATAATTCAAGAAAACAAATTAACCACTCGTCACGTATTTACCAAAGCAGTAAATTAAGATTTAGCGTTTGAAGTTTACGTATAAATTTCATGCTTGAACTGCTACGACGGCTTGTAGTCGTTAAAGCATGAAATTTATACGCCAAAGTAAACGTCAAACGCTAAATCTTAATTTAGTGCTTTGGTGAATACGTGACTAGTGGTTAATTTGCTTTCTTGAATCATTGCTAAAGAGCACAAGTTTAACAATTGTTTAATATATTTCAAAACTGGTGTAAAAGCTATTATAATAGAGTTATAAAATCAAAAACGCTAGCGGTTTGACGTTTGCCGTAAACGTCAATCTATAAAAGTCTAACACTTTTCCACTATTTCTTCCGCCTTATATAGTAACATGGTAAAGATTAAATGCGACTGGAGAAATTCCAAAAGTGATGTACAGGGTGTATCAAAAAAATGTACACCCTTTCAAATTCATTTATTAGCCGTAACCTTTTTAATATTATATCTTATGCAGACTTGAATAATGTTAATTTAAGTAATTTAAGACTTGAATAATGTTAATGTATTTGTTCATACAAATAGAAGTTATCCTAAATTCCCTTGTGCAAGAAGACCTCGTGTTTTCACGCATTCATTAATTCGAGAAATTAACGGCTGTCAAATTACTACAATAGGTTACGGTTAATTTGAAATTGAAATTGTACCCTGTATAACGTTAACCCGAGTTACCACCCTACATTTTGAAGCTGCTTTGATCAAGCTGCACATAGCTGCACATTGTTTAATTTGAATCCTATTCCCAAATCATGATGACTGGATCATCAATAACTACACAGCTAAAAACGATCAGGTTGTTGCAATATTGATGTAAACAGGATGAACAATGTTGTGCTGCCCACTTTCACGTGCACAGTTGTCAACAATATTGAACAATATTGTTACACCCGATTCAGGCTCAACAATATTGTTCAATATTGTTGACCAATGTGAACAACGTGAGTAGCACAACATTGTTCAATCCTGTTAAACAGCAGGTTTTTACGCGTGTTTTTACATATGTACTTGCTGACATCCACGTTGTTATCAACAAAGTTTTGCATGTACCTCTCACCAAACGAACCTTTACCCAACTAAGCAATTAGAGATATACACTCAGTGAGAACATGAGACAATGTAGACTTCATCCATTAATTAACCCATTAAGCTACAAGGTTATTTTATTTGGGCTAACACCAGATGCTTTATTTGTCACGAGAACAGCATTGGGCATTAACCAGTGCCAATGTTTTTTATTAAATATAACTGTTAACCCATTAAGTTGCATTGTGCACTAATGCACCCTTTAGAGTACAAGAAAGTCGGTTCCAGATCGTTCGACACTCGAAATTTGTTGAATGTGCGCTCCTGAGTGACTGGTTGAGTTCTTCAGAAGTCCGTGTTTAGGTTTAGGGAGTATACAAATCATTTTATTTTTGATATTATATCGATGAACATTTTTTCTAAATAGTGACTGCAAAGTTGGGGGAGCTAATTAGTTATGGTAGTATTTATACGGAATGTATAAAAGCTATTGTTTATACATAGTGTTCAGTGTGACCACATCACTACTTTCTGGTAACGTCTTTCGCAGATGTGTACCAATCCAATATAATTATTAACTACTCGAGCAAGTAAGTACCCAAAATTATGTGAAAAAATCACTATATTAACTGTCAATATGCCTAGCGAATACATGTATAAATGTAGGTCTTCCAGGGAGTATGTGTTCCCGTGTTCCCTCGGAAGTTTTTCCTTTACTCTCCACAAAGATTTCACAATGTCCTCTAGTTCCCTATGATTTTTGCGTTATTCCCGTGTTCCCAATGCAAAATATGCCTTGTTCGCTAGAAAGCCTTGGAGTATGAAGAACCTCTGTAATGAAAACGTTTTCATGCTTACTTATTGAATACCAACTATTGTCCAATTAAATGCAAAGGATGAATTCCAAACATCTCCAAACATATGGGCACAGAGTAAGTACACACAGATGTCTCACTTAATTTAGCGTAATGGTTTTTCAGTCCGCCATGTTACTGAAGTGCCCTAAAGAGAGTCCGTCACCCCCTGAAAACATATTGAAATTAAATGTTCCAGGGGTGAATGCCTTTCGTTAGGGCACTTGCGAAGAACATGGCCACCAGTTATTTTGGCAAAAATTACCTTACAGTTTTTCCGTAGAAGTAAGACCTCGGTACGTACTTACTCTGTGGTATGGGCTCGCCCAGTACCTGTATCAACAGCCTTTGTGCTTGGTTATAATAATGACAATAAAAGGCAATAAACTATACAAAATCGCGTTTCTAAAGAAGGAGTAATAAACATAGCCTGCTTGCCGCCTGGAATTTCCAAGGGGGGATAATTCAGGCGGCAATCAGGCTATAATAAACATTGATTACATTTGTTTCCAATCTCGTACCCAGAGCAATGCCTGTGCGCTGTGGGCTAGGAAGGCATTGGCTTTGGGGAAATAGACAACCGGAACCCCTAAATTTAGGGGTTCCGGTTGTTTGTCGGCATGCACTATTGATAAACGTTAAACCAATCACAGCACAGGAAAAATTCTATTTCCCCAGAGCCAATGCCTCCCTAACCCGCGCACAGGCATTGCTCTGGGTACGAGATTAATTTGTTTCAGAAAACCGATTAGCACAACCTCGTACATATGGCAATTCCTAGATAGTATGCTTCAAAATAAGATTTCTGTTTTTATTCTATTTTTAAAATAAGATAGGGTTAGGTTGTGGTTTAGGTTAGGGTTAGGTTGGGGTTAGGGTTAGGTTTAGGTTTAGTATTAGGGTTAGGGTTTAGTTTTGCGTTAGGATAGTTTTTTCTACGTTATAAAAACGGAAACCTTATTTTGAAGTATAATAATAATAATAATAATAATATTTATTCAGGAAGCTCCACTCACCAAAGTGTTTTTCAGGGAGGTCCTGTAATATATATCTATATTATACATGGTAAACTATACTATGCTTATTTAAAAACTATAAAATATTTACAAGTGGATTATATATAATTATACTTCATAGTTAGAAAAAAACTCAACTAAATTAGATAAATTGTTCAACTTAATTAGATAAATTGTTTTAGTTTGGATTTAAAGAGATTAAGATTAGTAGATTGTTTCAGTTCAATAGGTAATGAGTTCCATTCCGATACTGAGTGATAAGTAAATTGCTGTTTTCCCCAATTCGTACGTGGGCGTGGAAGGTAGTAGTTGTTGTTCTGGCGTGTTTTATGGCTATGTATACGGGAGATTATGGTAAGGTTAAAATCAAAGTCGACTAGATGGTTAAGACATTTAAAGACGGAGATACAACGGTGGTATTTTCGACGTAGATAAAGGGGTTTCCACTCTAGAGTTTCAAGGGCTTCGGTAGCGGAGGAATGGCGAGGAAAGTATACATCTAGCAATCACCAACCTCGTAACCCAGGGCATTTTACCTCCACGGTACGGGGTTGCAATTACCAGTAATCCAGAATACACCATAATGCATTGCGATTTAAAACTGTGCGCTTTTGACGAAACGATCAATTTCCAACCCAGGCTCCAAATATTTTTTTTCCTGCTCGGTCACCTTGAAAACAAACAAGATGGCTGACTTTTGGACATATTTCGATAAGGTTTGAAATCGCCGTAAAGTCATGGCAAAGTAAAGATGTTTCACAGTAAAAAAGCGCAAGTAGACTTCAAGAGAGTTACACAAAAGTTTCTTGATGCAAAGAAGGAGTCGCGACAAAGAGCTCATGCACTACGCACTCTGTTAGGTGAGATATATATTAAAATTCTAGCATGTTTGAGCCAAAATATTAATATATACAGCATTTGTTGCAAATAATCTATAATTGTCAACAGTTGAGTGAACATTAAACTGAACTAACTATACTTATACTGAATAACTCCATCAGTTCTAAACTGTTCTCCCTAGAGGTACAGCAAGAGGTAACCCAGCAAACCCTAAATTATTTTTTTGAACTGTCTGTGCCAGACCTACTGTTGGTAGTGCCAATAAATATGAATAAGCTTTCTTTGTTAGGGATGCAATTACCTGAAAAATATTAGGAGAATTTTGTCGTTTTGAGCCAAGGCCCTTCGTCTGGAGTTACTAGCGGGGTTGGGAAAATTACACAAGCTTTTATACTAAGAATATTAATGACAGTGACAAAAACTAAACCAATCAGATGGATTTGCTCAAAAACCAAGTGACTCCAGACGAAGGGCCTTAACACGAAACGTTGAAATTCTCTTTAACCCCTAAATTATCCAATCATTCAAATGGAAGCTGTGGTACTCGGAGAAAACCTGGGAATATGGTAAAATCTTAAGCCTGGTTCACATTGATCGTAAACATCGGCGATGCCCATTGTCGGTGGTCATTGATGCATAAAATGTTTTGTGCATTTTCTTCTTCGTTGCTCACAGACAATGGATCGTAGAACATCGCCGATCAATGTGAACCAGGCTTTAGACTGCTAAGTTTGCCGTACATTCCAAAGATCTTCCATACCGAACAAAACATTGTACAAAAGTGCTGTAACAAATATTAATGTCAACTTTTGCATACTTTTAGATAACTTTGAAACTCATGAAGCTAAAGTGTTTTTCCAAAGACACTACTCAGAGATATATTACATTTGTCATGATTACTTTTCTGTAGTTGAAGTTACCCTCAGGCAAAAAGGTAACTATATTCACTGGAACAGACAAATTAAATACTATAAACAGTGCTGGAAAATGTCCGACAGCGCTAGCAGCATCACGGCCAGGAAATTTTTAACAGATTATCTTTAGAGGAAATTTTCTTACACCTTGCAGTATTTTTGTCACCTTATTGTTTACAAAAGCATTTTGCAAGTCAAGATTGTCTTCTGCCAAGATTGAAGTTTATCATGTAATATGTGGCACCATATGTTCTCTGAAATCTACAGATGCTGGAAATTTTATATTTTACTTAGGAATTGGTTATTTGTCTGGTCATGGAAACCAACAAGCTTTGGCTATATTTATTCATGAATTAATTTGATTGGTTCATTTCTTTGTTCTGCCAGCTTGCTTTGCAAAATGACATCAAGTGAATTTCTTTGATTTTCAAGCAAATCCTCAGTGGCCAAGTGGTTAAGGCACTCGCCTTGTACATATGTTAGCTCGACCTGTGAGCAGGTGGCCTGATCAATTCGGGTTAGAGTTTAGGGAAGGGTTTCCGGTTCCCGACCGACCCCTTTTTTTTTGCCGACCCTATTATTTTTTCAACGCGATTGACCGTGTGACCCTATTTTCTCCGGGTGGTTGAGGGCTGCGCCAATGGCATCTGTTGTCACACTAATTATTGAAAAAACCATGAAAAAATATTGAAAAAAATTATTTCCGACGTACCGACCCTAATTTTTTCGCTATATGAAACCGGAACCACAGGTATTTTTTTTAGGCCCAATCAAAGTAATTTGAGGACAAATAGCCAAAGCTTATTAGTTTCTGTGACTGGACAAATAACAACTTCGCTTGACTTATGTACACAGGAAATTTTTAAGTTTGGATTTTGCTGCCAGGAGAGAAATAGATTTCTAGGCCTGACTGTATATTATTACATAGGTATAATATCTTGATTATATATTAGTGTAGCAGTTTTCTGAAAATGTGTGTTTAATTTTCCACAGCAAACAAGTCAGTGAGAGATGACCTAGACTGTGTTTTGTATATATTTGAGGTAATCCTGAATCTGTTTTGCAAGGAAAACCAGACCAAAGCATATGTGCATTATATTTTCATTTCTTGTAATCTACATTTTATATCTTGCTATGTTTTAAATGTTTTGATTGGTTTGTGATTACGTAAAGGTGTTATGTGTTAAATGATTATTGAAAGTCATCTAAACATGATAAAAAGCCTCCAAAATGATGAAAATGGCACTCCCTACCAACCCTAGCCCATGATGCCCCCTAAACAATAATTGTACTTTACTGTATTATGCATGGATAGGAGTCCAAAAACATTTTCACATAATAAATAAAATATATCAAAACTAGCTTGAGGGTAAAATTTCTTTGGCCCCTG